GTCCCTCCATCCAGTTGTTTCCAACTCATATCAACTCCCATTGTGCTTCTGAGGCTGTAAATCTTTATGGAATTAGATTGCCCCTTCTTCCTTCTGCAGAGCAGCTGGTGGGTGTGAACCACTGACCTAGTTAGAAGCCAAATTCCTTATCCACTATGCCACCAGAGCTCTTTAATTATGTTCTTAGCTTTAGTTTATTTATTTGGCCTTTCAAGAGGTTTATCACCTTTATTAATTTTTTTGAAGAATCAACTTTCTGTTTCATTGTTTTTCTGTGTTTTTTTTTTTTTTCTATTTTAAATCTCATTAGTTTCTGCTCTTATAATTTCTTTCCCTTTGCTCACTTTGGGTTTATTTTGCTCTTATTCGCTAGTTTCTTGTAATAGAAACTTAGATTATTGAGTTGTAACCTTACATCTTTTCCAATGTAAGCATTTGGTGCTGTATAATTCCCTCTCAGCACCGTTTTAGCTCCAGCCCACATGTTTTGATATGTTGTATTTTATTTTCATTCAGTTATATGTATTTTTCATTTCTTTTTGAGACTTCCTCCTTGACCCATGAATTATTTATAAGTATATTGTTTAATTTCCATGTGGCAAGAGAGGATGTTTTAGCCTGAAAGGATGAAGAGGGCTTCCCAGGTTGAGTGAGTGTTATAGCTTGATCTCTCTTGCCAGTGCTTCCCAGTTGCCTGATTTCTTTAGGTAGGGGAAAGAATTCTCGGCCCACAGGGACAAAAAGGCTTCCCAGGCCAGATTGCTTCTTTTAGTGGTTTCCTCTTGCCATTGCTGCTTGGTTTCCCAGTGTCTCTAGGTGGAGAGGAGATTTCAGGACCAGCAGGGAATGAATCTGTCCTGGAAGAAGTGCAGCAGGAATGCTTCTTGGAATGGCCAGACTTTGTTTCACTTACTTTGGTCATGTTGTCAGTAGGGACCATTCCCTGGAGAAGGATGTCAGGCTTGGTAAGGTGGAGTGTCAACAAAAGAGGGGAAAGCCCTCAACAAAATGGATTGACACAGTGGCTGTGGCAATGGGCTCAAGTATAGCAAGGATTGTGGAGCTGGCGTGGGACCGGGCAATGCTTCATTCTGCTGTGCAAAGGGTTGCTATGAGTCAGAGAAGACTCTATGGCACCTAACAACAACAACAAGAGAATGGAAGCATTTTCCCTAACTGCGTATTGTCAGTGGGGCTCACAATTGATCTCCTTGGCCAAAGTTGGAGGCTCAGTTGATGTTGGTGGGACCCCAATTCCATCTAGGGGAGGAATGAGCCTACCCAAATTACCTTCTGTTGTTAGGTTCTGGATCAGGAGATGCTAGGCCTAGGCCACCTTCTTCTCTTAGGTGAGAAATTATAAGATCATGCCTCTGTGTTGTTCCTTTAGGTCTGGAATTCCTAACCAGTTTTCTTTCCACGTTTCAGTGTCCTTCTTTGGAGGCCTTTTCCATTATTTCCAGAGTTTATAGTTGTACTTTGCAGGGAAGACAAGGAAAAGAGTAGTCTAAGCCATTTTTTCAAGTAGACTTAGCCTTCTGTTTACTTATCCTCAAACCTATCAACCATACTAGTAACTTGAGTTATCTTTCTAAAACTCTATTCAGGTCTCTTTCATGCTTAAAATTATTTAATAATTTACTGTCTATGAACCAACTACACCAAAGTCTCCTAGGGTCCTTGTGAAAATGTAGATTCACGGGCGAGCTGAATGAGATCCTTTGAGAAAAATAATTGTAATGAAGTTCTGTAATTTAAACATATAAATCATACCAGCTGTAGCTGAAAGCCAGTAGAATAAAAGAAGATGGTCAAAACATCAGTTCCTTATCACACTGAAATGCACTACAAGAAATTGTAAGGTAAATTATTTAATAGTGATTGAGATTTTTGTACAAATCATGATTCAATTATAAATAAAATTATTTAATACTGTAGATAATCAGCTGTAGAGAAATTAGAATTATATTTTATGAATTATCTTCAAATGCTTTCTAAAATGCAGAAATTTGCTCTAGGATTATATAATGTGGTGACTGATATATCTTATTTAAAGTTACCTTTATTTTGTAAATATTATGACATCAAAATATGTCCAAGATAATTCAGTCTCAATAAGGTTCTGTTTTACCAACTTTACAAAAATAATAACAGTTTTCTCAATGGTATTCCTAGTAACAACACAGGGAAAACCCATTTCTGCTTTAAATGAAAGATTACTTACTGCTCTTTTTCTAGAACACCCTGTAATCCAAGGCACAGTAAGGTTTCCTGAAATCTGTGGAAACAACAAATGGAAGCTCAGTAAGATATGCATTTATACTACTTGGAGTGTTGATCAACACTAAAGAGTTCATATAAGATGTCAAGATAGTTCTCCTTTCAGAGCATATCCCCCACGTAGACATAGTTGATTCTTTATTGAAGCCAATGGGTTTAGAGGGCCTTACTTTGAAGGAAAATTTTACAAGTACATGGTTCCCCTGGAAATCCAAAGTTTCTACAGTATTGGTGGGGCCTAGACACATAGCTTGGGTATCTACATACAATGAATTTATTGTAATAAAAATGCAGTGCCCTGTGTAATGAGAGCTGCAAGAACTATAGAATAGTAACTGTGTCTTTCTAGATAAAGCATTATCAGAAGGCAAAAGAGAATTACCTAATGAAAGGTGTAAGCTACAAAGTATTTAAATATATTACTTCCTTGTACTTCATAAAATCAGCAGTAATAGAATGATTTCTCTAGGTATATCCTAATAAAAATTTTAGATATAGAGTGCAACTGATTGAAATATTTTGTTTCTCCAAACTGTGGCCTAATCAGGTGTCTATTGACTATGCTCTGAATCCTTTCTTAGGAAATGTTTAATTGTATATTTAAAAAGGCACATTGATTTAAAGGAATATTCATTTGCATAATGATAGCTGAGTGACAAAGGGAGAAAATATAGCCCTTTCAGCATTATCATCATTATAAAACTTCTTTAGATAAGAATAGATCTCCAGTAAGATCTGTTAATTTGAGTCCCATCGCAGTGTTCAATGTTGGTAATTAATTTTTCAAATGTTGCAATCTTCAGTAGATATTTTTTGCACAGAATGCACAGATTTGAGCAGATAATTTCTAATAATTTCCCAAATGAAGAGGGATATTTTCGTAGCAGAAGATATATTTATTTTTTCAGTACTCTCTCATATACGTATCCACTCATACCTAATATTAAAATAATGCTTCTAAAAACCCACAATCAGTAGTATGATAGTCCCTTTTTAGTAGAAATATGTGCTATTCCAGTTGGATTTTGGGAAGTGTTTACAGAGACCAAGGTAGTCCTGAGGTCATATTCCAGCTGTGACTCAGGTTAGCCTGGCTTAATCATAATTTTACCTGGGGTATACTAAGATTGGAAAGTATTCTAAACTCTCTTCTTGCCATCTCCTTAAGAACTGAAATTAGCTTCTGTTGGTGGTAAAAATGTGGCAATCAATCAGACATTTATTGCTTTTGGTAAATTATGTTTAGTGATGGTTGATGAATTAGTATTATGCCAATTGACAAGAAGTAATGATTGAACTGTAAATAGTAAAGTTGTGGTTGTTATGTACTGTCGAGTCACATCTGACTCATAGTGATCCCTCCTTGGGTTACTGAGGCAGTATCCCTACGGATGTAGATTGCCCCAAATAGTAAAGTAGTATCCTCAATTATTAAAACTTCATATGAGGAGGTGGGGCAAGATGGCGGACTAGGCAGAAGGATTGCACAGACCCTCTTCAACAAAGAAAAGGGAAACCAATTAACACAGACACAGAAG